GCATTGGTAGGCGTCTTCCACTCCATCACAGCCTCAATCTTTGCCGGATCCACTTGTACGCCCTGAGCCGAAATCACATGGCCCATAAATCCAACTTCCTGCAACCAGAAAGCACACTTGCTGAACTTCGCATACAACTTCTGCTCCCTCAAACGCTGCAATACCAGACGCAAGTGTTGCTCATGGCTGCGTCGATCCGGTGAGTAGATCAATATGTCATCAATGAAGATGATGACAAACTCGTCGAGGTAATCCATGAATACACGGTTCATCAACTGCATAAATACTGCAGGAGCGTTCGTCAGTCCAAAAGGCATAACGACAAACTCAAAATGTCCATACCGTGTACGGAAAGCCGTCTTCTGCACATCCCCGGCCTTCACACCAATCTGATGATATCCCGAGCGCAAATCTATCTTCGAGAACCACTGTGCACCCTGCAACTGATCAAGTAACTCATCAATCCTCGGCAGTGGATACCGATTCTTAATGGTTACCTGATTAAGTCCTCGATAGTCAATGCACAATCGCATGCTACCGTCCTTCTTCTTGACGAATAGCACGGGCGCTCCCCAAGGCGAAACACTCGGCTGAATGAATCCCTTCTCCATCAACTCATTCAACTGCTTCTTCAATTCTGCCATCTCTGTTGGAGCCATTCGGTACGGAGTCTTAGATACCGGTTCCGTACCTGGAATCACATCAATGCAAAAGTCCACCTCTCTCTCCGGTGGTAGCCCTGGCAATTCCTCCGGAAAGACGTCAGGAAAATCACGAACTACAGGCGTCTCATCCAACCTCATCTCCGCCTCCTGGATAGCTGTCACTACCACGAGAAACGCCTCATCTCCCTTCTGAATCATTCGGCTGGCCTGAAATGCTGATATGATCGGGAAAGGATTTCGTGCTCTGTCTCCCATAAACTCAAACTTCCCTGCCGCATCTGCAAACTGAATCACCCGCCTGCGGCAGTCAATGTGTGCCTGATGCACGGTCAGCCAATCCATTCCCAATATCAAATCATACCCCTGAATAGGTACTATAATCAGATCAGCTAAGAGATTCCTTCCACAGAGTATTAGAGGGATCCCGCGTAACACCCCGGTCACTGGCAGGATCTCTCCCGAAGGGGTATGCACTCTATATCTCTCAGCTGTATCCATATCCATCACATCCAAGCCCTCCGCTGTACTTAAACTTAGGAAGCTATGTGTAGCTCCCGTATCAAACAAAACGTGGCATGCAGTACCATGAAGATGTATGATACCTGTGATGGTAGCAGCGTCTAACTGCTCGGGGTCACCCTCGACGACAGCATCAATGGTGACTGTCTCCTGAGCAAAGTAAGCTCCGTCGCCCAGGACTTCTTCCTCCACCGCACGTGCATATACCCGTGGTGCTACTCCTCCTCTACGTGGTGGCTGAGGGCGTGGGGGTCTGACTCTCTGCTGACTGGAAGCAGCTACGTCTCCGGTGCACTGGTTAGCGAAGTGGCCAGGTTGACCACAACGGTAACAAGTATACCCAGTACGGCATGGTCCAACATGATCTCGCCCGCAACGTGGGCAAGATCTGCGCGATCCTGGCAGTGCTGGTGGCGGTGGTGCTGCCGGACGAAATGCTGGCGCCTTCCCCTTATCCCGGGGCTGCATCATCTGTCTGGAACTCGAGGGACGAGTGAATGTAACTCGTCTCATAGGACTCCTCTCTCGGTTCCTTGCCTCTTGCTGCTCCTCATACTCTGTCCTTTCCAGCTTGGTCAGCTGCGCAATGTACCTACTCAGCGTAGGATACTCCTGGATCTCTATCCTCCTGCGCAGATATGGGCGTAATCCAGTCACAAACTTCTGGATCTTCAGCCTCTCAGTTGGCACCAGATGTGCCCCATATCGCAATAGACGGGTGAACTCGGCCTCATACGCAGCTAAAGTCCGATCACCCTGCTCCAGATGGAGGAACTCCACAATACGGTGATCCTGGTCTCCCTTCAGACAATACTTGTCTTCAAAACGTGCCCGGAACTCCTCCCAAGTAAACTGATATCCGGGTGCAGCCTCACGAACCACTTCCTCCCACCAATGAAGTGCTTCTCCATACAGATGGTGGCTCGCGATCTCTGCCCGGTACAACAGCGGGCATCTGACATAATCCAGATCCCTGGAGATGCGGATCAGCCAATCCTCCGCGATCTCAGGTCTCTGAGTACCCTCAAACCTCGGTGTCCCCATCATCCGAAGTTCCCGTATCAAGGGCAGGTAGTCCACCACAACAGGGGCTAGATGCCCTGGTGGTCCCGGCGGAGGTGGGGGTGGAATACCCTCTGGTCTAGCTCCAGCCTGATGTGGCATGTTCATCTGGTACTGATGCCACATCGTATCAAAGAACTGCTGCTGGAACTCTGGTGGTGCATGCTCGGGTGGAGGGGGTTCTTCCCTCACCGGCAAACGGGCAGGTCTACCACGTCTCGGAGGCATCGGTACACTGCAGACAAGGGAAAAAATTTCAGTTCTGGTGACTTCAGGATCATGTATAAATACATTGGAAAACCTTTCTTTCAAAAAAAATCGTTTGAAATCATAAACAGTGTTTCTGTGGGTTTCAAGCAATTTCTTTCCGTGGAAAGAACTGCTCTGATACCAAAAGCTGTGACACCCGTAACCCGTCTCCCGCTCACGAGGTGTGCCACATGGACGCCCAAATATATAATAAAATAGCGGGAATTTAAAAACATTTTATTTTATTACACACGCAGCGGAAAA